TTGGATTTAAGGTTTTCTTTGGTTGATAAATCCATTTCTCCTAATGTATCTTCAACACTTGAGATTCTCTCTTCCATCTCTTCTATTCTGTTGGTAATGCTTGTATTGGTAGTGCCTGACTGTTTGTCCAGCTTTTCTATTTTCTGCCTTTCTTCAGATTGTGTTTTTTTTAGTGTCTCTATTTCAGTTTTCAACCCTTGCAGCGTTTGCATTGCTTCTTGCAATTTTCTGTTTATCTGTTCGTCCGTTTGTTGCCTTTTATGAATTTTTTGGTTTGTTCTTTCTTCCATTTCTTGCATTTTTTGGTTTGCTTTTTGTTCCATTTCTTGGATTTTGTGCTTTGTTTCTTCTTCCATTTCCTGCCTTTTTTGGTTTGTTTCTTCCTCCATTTTTTTCATTTTTTGCTTTGTTTTTTCTACCATTTCTTGCATTTTTTGCTTTGTTTCTTCTTCCATTTCCTGCCTTATTTGGTATGTTTCTTCTTCTAATTCTTGCATTTTTTGCTTTGCTTTTTCTTCCATTTCTTGCGTTTTTTGCTTCATTTCTTCTTCCATTTCGTGCCGTTTTTGGTTTGTTTTTTCTTCCAATTCTTGCATTTTTTGGTTTGTTTTTTCTTCCATTTCTTGCATTTTTTGGTTTGTTTTTTCTTCCATTTCTTTGAGGGATTTTCCAATATCCTCTTTTAGGGCCTCTATCATTTTCATGAAAGTGCTTTTAAGATCGTTCTCTTCTGCTTCCTTCGCGTTGGAATATTGGGGTCCTGCTGGTGTGGAGTCTCTAGAATCTGGCTGTGTCATATTTGTTTTTCTGTTGCTGACTGTGTTGTTGTATTGTCTCTTTCCCATCTCTTCCTTTAGTGGGTGCAGAAAGAGCCCCTTTTGGTGGGTGCTAGTAAGTCCAGTAATCTGGTGGTTCTTCTATGCCTTGTCCAAATGCTGGTCCGTGGGTAGAGAAGAAGAACAGGAATCTGGGGCGCTTAGCCTCCTACCTGGTCCCCTGGACCCTATGCTGGGTCCTGTTGTACCTGATCCGGAACAGCTACTCCCCTGGTCTCCCTGGTTCCTGTAGTTTCCTGGTCTCTTTGGTGGGAGAGAAGATCTGGAGTCTGGGGTGCTTGGCTCCCGCCGGGATTGGGAGCTCTGTGCAGTTCCCAGGCGATCTGCAGGCTCTGGAACACAGGCCGGGAAGCTGGCCTGTTTACCTGATGCTCCTGCCGGGATTGGGAGCTCTGTGCAGTTCCCAGGCGATCTGCAGGCTCTGGAACACAGGCCGGGAAGCTGGCCTGTTTACCTGATGCTCCCGACAAGATATTTTTACAAGACTCATTCTTTCTTAGTTTGTTTTTGTTTCTCTTGCCTTTCTTGAGAAAACTTTTCCAAGTGCATAGGTTCGAGTAACAAGGTCTATACATGAAGCACACACCCCTCTACTCACAAGAACTCACTGCAGTTTCAATATTCCCTCTACTGCCTGGAAAACACAACAGTGACATTGCTGATTGCTTTCTTTGAGTATGTCCTAGCACACTTTCTATATTCTATTTTCTTACTCCAGGTCTTTACCAAAGGCTAGTTTGACTAAATGGAAAGCACTTTGCATAATTAAAAATATTCCTGGATTTTACATGACATGGCTTCTTTGAAAAGAATTGTTTTATGCATGGAAAGTAAGAGCAGCAATATATAATTGCAAAGTCTTTTATTTTTTAAAGTTCCATCCTAAAATCATAAAAGATTTTTAAAAATTGTGATTGTGTTTGGATATCATATTCCAAGGATCTAAGATGTCTGTAAGGTAAGAACTTGGTAAATATAAACAAATATACTTGTTATTATCATACTGTCAGATTTCATTAAAGTCAGATATATTTTAGCCTCTGCTAAATGTCGTTGAGTGAATCTGATGCATGCTACCTCTCCAGGTATCCAAATTGTCTTTCTAACGTTTTATTCCCTTTCCTATCTTAGCCTTGAATTCGCCTTCCTCACCCAAAATAAAAAGATGATCAGCTTACTTTGACAAATGGTTATTGACTGTTTGCTAAGTGTCAGCTATTGGGAAAACCATGGTCCATGTACAGGAGGAGTTAATGTGGCAAACATTCTAATATGCATCTTTTAATATTTGTACCATTCTCTACTCTATCTTTGAGTTTAGGAATGCATGTGTCTCATTTGGTGACAAGTTTGTTTTTCACATGTCTTGTATCTCCATCCTATAAATCTTTGGGTGACTTTCTTCATCAATATCCCCTTTCCTACCACATTTGTCTTGAGATTGAGATGCCTGTGACTCTTAATTCTGTATCTTCTTTTAAGACATGTTACTAAGTATAAATATTAGCTCTTTTTGCCCAAGAAGATACCAGAAAAGTGAAGTTTCTAGAAAAAAATACCCAAGTAAATTTTAATTTCAGATAAACAATATCTTTTGAAAAATTACCAACCACATATTATATTGGGGGATATACTTAATGTACTTATGTATATTGGGGATATACTTATGCATCCCTACCAGAGCTTCTCAGTCCTATGGGGAGAATTTTTGCTTCTCTTCTTCACACCATGTGAAGCTGTCATAACTTTCACTCCATATTTAATGCTATCAAAACTGGAGATGATACCATGGGTCAGCAGCTCCAGGTACCTCATTTCTTTGGAAAGTTTGAGGAAGGAAGGAAGTTGAGATGTACACTATTCACAGTTTTCCTCTATCAGAATATGTTAATGCTAACTAACAAAACCTCTTCAATTTTGTATTTTCTAGTACCATCTATGCCACAAGTTAACTTGGTTTCCAACCTCTGAAGAAGGGTGTGCACCCAGTCCACTTCCTTTTACAGCACACCACCAAAGACACCACTGTGAAAATTCATTGTCCCTACTGCCTCTGCTCTTTACCTGGGAGTACTTTCAGGAATATTTCCTCTGACAAGGACTCTTGGTTGCAGGTAATATAAGCCATATCTGATCCAAGACAAGGCTTGTCCTGCAAAAAATTGTTAAAAAGACTAAGAATTCAGACACAAAGACAGTAAAATAGCATTATATGTAATATATTATATAGACTGAAGGTCAAAAATTAAGCATTTTCCAGCAATGGGTTTTCTTATTCTGTTCCACAGAATCATATAGTATGAACTAGTCATGGTGATTATGATCACTTCAGTATGTGGATCCATCCTGGGGAAGCAAAGAGCAAGAGGAATAGATGAGAAATTTCACTTCCTGTGATACTTGGTTCCCTGTGAAAGGAGGGTAACTCCTTTCTAAAACCCATGAAGAAACTGTGTTACACAGCCTGGTTGGACACTTCAGGTTTTGTCATCCTATGCATAAATACACCTGTGGCAGAGGGTACAAGTACTGTACAGTCCATAAACATCTCTGCTCCTCACATCCTGACAACACCTTTCTTCATGTCTTGCTTTGACACAGAGCAGTTCTGATGCTGTACAAACACTTGCCATGCACACATTGTGATGTCCTGTAGCACTTTGGACCAATAGGATTCAAGGCAATAGATGGATGTTTCTTTTACTTTCTTCATCTATAGATATATTTAAGGCCCTTTTTGTAAGTTTTCTATGAAAGGTGGAGACATTAGGACCCATACTGATTTTCTTGTTCATTATGATTATTTCACAGATAAACTACATGTGTGTGTTTTCCTTTTGGTTCTACTTTCAAGGACTTCAGATTAAGGTCTTGAGACAGAAGAAACAAATGACTCCTTAAAAGGGGAAAGTGTGTTAGGTTAACGGAAATACTTTCACCCACAAGGAGAAACCCACATAATCACTTCTTTTCTAACAGGGAAAATAATAAATAGAGCTATAGTCAGGATGAGTGATATAAAGACTTTGCTTTTATGAAGCTCATTCTTAGACACCAAGAAAAGTTAAAAACTTCCATCATTTTCTTATGGATCTTATGAGAGATGGAGGCAAACTCAGGAGGTAAAGGATCATCCATAATAGTGGATATGAGCTTTATAATTCATCAAAGATTCCAGTTTGTCTTGAATCATGTGCAAAGTTACTTAGTCTGAGCAGAGAGACATTGGAGGATAGGGTAACTACTTTTAGTTCCATGTGGTTAATTGTGCAAAACTATTTTATGAGAATGTTGATGACTTAATGGGAGTAGGACCGTATTTTCACACTCAAGTTTTCTTGGTTTTACATTTTATAGAATTATTTAATTTCAACTAAGGAAAGCCATACTGCATGATGAGAATATGGAGAAAATCGTGATCACAAACAATTTTATTCTACCATAAATGCAGATGAGTCTGCCTTTATAGCTTCAGACAGGTACTGTTACCATCTTGGGGAAGCTGGACTGTGCATTGCATGTGTAAGAATGACTCTTGGGAAGACCATTAGGGCTTTTCATATTGATGATTCAAGCCACTCCTCCCCTAAACATCTATCACTAGTTTTCATCCCTATCTCTGATCTACAGTTTTTCTACTTTTGAATTGTGTCTCAGTCATGTACCTCATGATCACTGGTGGCTTTTTGCTGTAATAGGCCTATGTGACTTTTTGGTAACAGTTTTTGTTATGGAAACCGCAGGATAAATCCTGCTTGATCACACTCTTGTGGTCTTTTTATGAGGTAGGGTTTACTTGCTAGTGACTACACGCTCCCTGAAGAAAGTTCAAAGGACCTTGAAATAAATGTGCCTCTAACCAGGAAGCATCTGTCACCACCAGTGTCTTTCCAACTGAATGACTTTGTGTTGTGTATAATGACTCTGACAAACCCTGCTATCCTGTGGGCCTGATTAATGGCATCTGTGCCTTTTCTTCAGAACGATAACTAGTTTTGCTTCAGTGAAGCTGGACTTGTCTACAAATTCTTTGTTAGTATACCAGAACAAGAATATGTACAGCGCACTCCAGAAAGCACAGTTCATTTGTAATTGTTCCAAAGTCACTGTATGGGCTTCAGAAGGACTTCCTTCTTGGGGTTGTACTTCCTGCCAAGCAGGTGAGGAGCTGAATCATAACACAGTGGAAAGGGAGGAGCAAAAAGTGAAGGCTTATATTTCCTTTGGAAGGACGCACTCCAGTCCAACCTGCCAAACTGTTCCCATCACCACCGGGAAGCAACAAAGGTAAAGAGAAATATTTTTGTACTTTATGACTAAAATCGCTGTTTGAGGGCAACAAATAAGAGTAAAATATGACACTTGATAGGTCTGTAATGAGTCAGATGAAGGGATAGCTTTTTTTTATGAATGTGTCCCTTCACTGATCTTTTGATAAAGCTGTTAGCATATTTGAATATCATCGCAAATATGCATCATAAAACCATTAATTCAGCTAACTAGACCTCATAAATCTAATTGATTTTGTAAAGAAATTATGCTATATTTTCTTAGTATTAATCCTAATCCTTTAACTAAGAACTATTCTTTTCTCTGTGATATTTCTTTGTATGTGTATGTGGAAGGGTATGTGTGTGCGTGTGTGTTGAGAGAGAGAGAGAGAAAGAGAGAGAGAGAGAGATAGAGAGAGAGAGAGGAGAGAGAGAGAGAGAGAGCACTTTCTTATATGTGTCTGTTTCTGTGTGTATCTTTGTGGATGTGTCTTTGAGTTTCTCTGTTTACTTTTCCCAGAGAGTGCTTACAGTTCCCAGACATGTTGTAAGATGCTGATGTCTTTGCCACATATGTGCTCTGAAAGAACTTACTTTGTGCCCCCTCACAAGCCTACTTCTGATACATGTCCCCCTCCTGACATTTGCTTGATATAACTGTCTCTTCTTGAATCCATCCTTTTAAACTGAAAAAGACAAGATGCTCAGGAATCCTTCTTTGCCTCTTTCCCACAGCTCTCTTGAGATGACATATTCCACTTTTCTGGCCAATGTTTCTTGCCCTAAAATCTAAGTAGACGTATGAAGAGATGTTCAAGAAAGCTTGAATGTCTCTTCTTTTCAAATTACACTTCATAGTCTTCCATGGAACTCCCATCTTTCCTTCCTGAGCTGGGTTAGGCCATGTTGGGATCTATACATGTTTTAGCCTTTTATCCAGTAGACTCTTCTTCCTGTAAACTGACTTGCTAATCTTAATTAGTCTAGAGGTGGTAAAATATTCAGTGCTGTTTTCTTTAATATATATTTGTTCTGGAGTAAACATAAGACATTGATGAGATAATAAGTATATTTTCCATCCCTTAAGGAATGATCATTCCAGTGACAAAGACCAGCATATTCAGTAGACCAAAATCTTTAATTCATCCACATGTTCCTCGGCATATGTAAAGGCAGTCACCCAGATGTTGACAAAATATCAGTAGAGGCTACAGCATGAGTGCAATTTTAAAATGAAGTGTTGTAAATGAATCCTGCTTATGGCTATCAAAGTAGATTCTAGAAAATGAACAGAGACTGTAGACATCATGACTGTTACTTTATAAACCTGCAGACAACAGAGTTCATGACATTAACATGCTCATGAATTTCCAGTATTTTTAAAATAAGAACTTAGTATTTTCCTTCCTTGTACTGTGAGCTGTCAGATTCAACTGTGAGATCAGGCAAGTAATATTGTTTATTAACTCTTATCCGTTGATGTTAGCTGCCGATGTTCTTGATGTTGTTTAATAGCATGTGGCAGGAAGTGGGAGAAGCATGAGGTTGAGGAGAGATGGACCCCAATTCCAATCCTAATAGTGTGTGATTTCTCAGGCTCCAAATCCATCTTCTGCAGAACTGTAGAAGCAAAACACATCCTTCAAGAGTAAAGTAAAGGTTCTGAACGCTGCAAAACTGTAGTTGGTTTGCACATGGACTCTGTGATCCAATCACCTACTTCTCAAGGGCATTCTAGTGTAAGAGTGTACACAGGGCATAGGAAGATGTTCCCCACAGCACTGCCTGAGATGGTGTGATAAATGTGGCCAGCCAAGTGTCATTCTCTGACGAGTAAATAGGCTGATATGATGAGAATACATGAATTCACTAGACATGAGTGATGTATCTGGAACAACGTGGATGCATCTAAAGCATATAGCACTAAATAAAGAACAAATGACTTAACAAAAGTTCATTTATTAAAGCCAAAAAGTATGACACAACAAAATCTATATTATGCCAGAACACATACAATGAGGGGTAGTCTCTAAAGAAATTAAAAATGTGGTCTGAGAGTGGAGGGGAAAGAGAATGAATTAGGCCTAAAGCAATGAGGGAGGAAGAGAGTGGCTTGTGCAGTTCGAGGATGACTCATTCCAAGAGGCTAGGGGTGGGATTTATGAGCCTTCCTACTTGTGGTTATAAAAAAAGAAACAGTCAGAATTTTAAAGGGTGCAGAACGTAGTAAGTGACTCTAATGTAAATTTTAAAGTCTGTATGTTTTAAAGAAGCCTCAGTAATTGCAAGTTTCACTGCCAACTACTTCATAATTAAAAACACAACACAAATTGAGAAAATTACATTTACTTGTAAATTTGAAATTACATCCTAGGATTGACTTCACTCACTAACTCCACCCTCTTCAATGCAGAATATAGTGTGAAGAAAGACCAGCTAGAATATACCTCATTACTGGGTGGACTTTTATTACTAAGATTACCAAATAAATGTTTTCCAAAGCTACTAATGATTACAGATGTTATAAAGCACTGTATTAAATTAAGTTGAAGGACAGTATCCTGGTAAAGACATAGGCTTGCATGTTAGTGGAATGAGATCAGCAAAACCCCTGTGATTTTTTTTGACTTTTCTTCAATGTTTTATTTATATAGAAATACTTAAAAAATGAAGTAGCACCATTACTTAAGTTTACCTTTATTATGTAGAACTTTAAATGTCAGAAAAATAAAACTCTTGATACAATTTCAAATCTTGTCTCAGCAAATATAATATTAGTATTTGACCATGAGGTTAAAGGCCCTTTATCATAAAATAAAATATACTTTGTTTTTTAAACTTTGCTCAGTAAAGTACATTTAAGCTCAAGTAACGTCACCTACATATACATAAACAAGTGGTAAACATATGTATTAAAATAGAAACACTAAAACTATAGCGGTGCAACAGAATTTTTGTAATTTGCACTGAATTCTATTTATACAAATGTTAGAAAGCATCAACTGTTCCTTTTGACATGTTTATACATTTCCGTTTTTTGTAATAATATAGAATAAAATATGCTTTAATCAAAAGCTGAGACATGAGTAACTCAGTCTTGGCTCTAGTGGGTTGTGCTGGATGGCCTAGCAGCTAACAAGAATAGCATCTAGTGCATATTAATAAGGTTAGAGCCATTGGTTTTAATTGTAGGAAGGTGCGAACATCACTGGCACCATGTCAATGCCATGGCTCATGGTTTTGAAAGTCCACAAGAGACACATTTTCTTTCTCTTCTTTGTTGACTGACAATGGTTGAGCCACATGCTCTCCTCCCTCTCAGGTCTGAGGACCATGTGCCATTAGCTCTTTATGATAGTCATGACACAAAGCACGGAGTTTTGAATGGGAGCATGACATACATTCCTAAATCAGTGACACAGAAGGTAACACCTCAGGGAATCCACCTCCAATGAGCTCAGGTCAAGTGGGCATGGCTGAAAACAAGCATTAGTAACTACAGTAAATGCACAGAAGTAGGGAGGTAAGTAGCTGGTCTGCCATATTGTCCTGGGGTACATATGCTTATACTAGGATTCTAAAACTATGTGAGAACATACTTAGGAGATTAGAGGTTAAAGAATAAAATGTTTCAGGTCTGTGAGAGGATAACTAAAATATGTAGCTGCTTAAGAAAAGTGTGAGTGTTGGTAAGTGTCCTTGTTGGTATTCAGTGGAGCAGGAAACATAAAAGGGATTCCTAAAGTAAGTGGCGATGCTTCTAGCTTCAAGTGACAGAAGACTCAACTAACACTTCTCATTTAAATAGCAAGAAAAACTTTTATATGACATAGCAAGTGCTGGCTTTCCTCTGACTACTTACCTTGTGACCATGAAAAGCTACCTCAGTGGTAGCCACATGTAAACAACACAGCTCTCAAGGGAAACAGATTCTCTTATGGGTGTCTTCTTAAGCTTTTCTACAGAAAAGTTTTCCTCAGCAAGGATTCCAGAAGTTTCTGAGTCCCAAGACACTCACTGACATGGAATGAAAGAACTGTCTTAATTGGATTAGGCAATTAGGAGTTGCTTCTGGGGACCAGGAAGCAAAACCTTCTCTTAAGCACACAGGAATTTGCATCACAACCAGATCTCTTGCTGATTGGTGGGTAATCAGCATTTACAAACATGGTGTCTATAAAGTGGGAAGATTCAGAAGATTTCAGAAGAAATCAGAAAAGGGTTGAAGGAAGGCCATGGAGATGCTGAACACTAAATGGATGGCCTGGCCTCCAAAGACACACTCTTGCTTGTTTCTGTCCCCACTTTCCACAGCTTTTGTCCTTATATTCATTTCCTTGATACATAAATTTCTCTTTCAATCATAGTAGTCTCTTTTCACTCTGTGCCTTTTCTCAGGAATGTCCTTCCTATGTGTGCCTTCTGTGAAGGCTATCCTTTTATTTTTCAATAAACGGGAGAGGTTGTGCCTCTCTGGGTAGATCTGTGTCCCTCCTCTCCAATTCCATTGAATTCTGTGTATACTTGCATATAGTTGAACTTATTGGATTAAAATCCCCTTCTTCATTTCTTTCACAGATGTTTATTAGGGGACTTCTGTATGCCCATCAGTGAAAACAGAAGGGAATCCATGCTGAGTAGTATATCAGAATTAAAAAATACATATGTAGTGAGTCAGTTAAGGCATGTTCTAGGAAGAAAAATAAATTGGAGAGATGTGATATGGACATGTGGGCTGAATTTTCAAAGGAAATCATTAGGGAAAAGATAATTAACAAGGTGTCTTCCTGAAGAGAGAAGGACGTGAACTCTCTTAGTGAGATATCTGAGTACTGGCAGAAAGAACATCTCAGAAGAGGGTTACACAGTGAGATGGATGGGAGTGCTAAAATAGGGAGAGTCAGTGCAGTGTAGCAATGATGAGGCCTGAGATGGCCAGGGCCAGGCCAGAGAGCCTTGCTGGTTATGGTAAGGTTTTGGCTTCTCAGAGAACGGGAAGTTTCTGAGGATGCTGAGTACAGAGCAACATGAGCATCTGACTTTGAAGCGACATCACTATTGCTTCTGGAGAACACAACACAGAGGACAAAAGAATGAAGAAGGCAGTCTGGTGTGGAAAGTGTTTTATTATTGCATAGGAGGAGGTTGGACCCTTTGATCAAAGTGGTAAAACCAAAGACAGTGACTTTGAGCATTTTTGAAAGTAGAGGAAAGAAAATATTTTCACAGACTGAAGGCAAATAAGAATAAGAAAGTATTAAAGGAGAACCTGATGGTTATTAGCCTGAACAATGGAATTAAGAGTCACAAAAATGAAGGAGAAGGCAAGGTAGAAACGTGAGGAATCAAGGGTTTGGTTTACATCATGACAAGTTTGAAGGACCCATTGGTCATTTACGTGGAAATGTTTAGTGTGTAGTCAGATATATGGGTCTACAATTGAAGGACAGCCTAAATTCAAGAGTCAGATTTGTTTTTTGCTGTAACCACTTCTGGGAAAACAAACATAAAAAAGTTTCATTGGCTCAGTTTCAGAAATCTCAGTTTAACATGGTGAGGGAACGGTAAAATAGGTCCAATTATAGAGCAAAGAAAGTAGGGAGGGAAGGGAGATGGCCAGGGAGAGGAAGATAAGAAGGGGGAAGGGGAGGGAGATGGAATGAATAGGTGGAAGTCCATGCACTTAGTGACCTAGCTCCTCTAGACAGGTCCTCCCTAACATTTCCACAACCTCTCATGGGAGTTCTACCAGCTTGAGACTGTCGGTTCAGTTCATGAGTCCATGGAGGCACATTTTATGTTTAAACTGTGACAAAGCCCTAACAGTGTGTTGGTGATGTTTGAACATGACAAGAGATGAGGTCACCTGGGATGTGAATGCAAAGGCAAATAAGACTCAGATCTGAAGTCTGGTGAATTATGATGAACAGGAGCAAGATCCTGAATGTGAGGCAGAGGGGTTTGCCAGGTGGCAGACTGAAAGAGAGAGACCACCAGGAAGACCAAGCAAAGAAGTGCTGGCCAGCATTGAGCCTGATGAAGAGTTTTTAAAATCTCCCCGTGGCTGGGAACTACTCTTATGGATTGCCTTTTCTGTGGGTCTCTACTCTTAGTGCTGCTTCCATGTTTGCAAGACTGAATTTTCCTTCTTAACACTCTTTCCCTAAAGTAACATGTTCTCCAGCATAATCTTTCCTTCTCTTGGGTTTTTCTCTTTGATTCCTTCATTTTTGCTGATAACATGACTCTGACTGGGTGGAGAGCCTTGGTCACCTTCCTAGCTTTGCTTCACATTCCTGGAAGAATGCCAAGAAGGGGATAAAACTGTGGCAAGTGTCAGATTGCTCCTACAGAGCTGTGTGGTAAGGAGATACTTTTATTCTTGTGAGCCTGTGAATGTGGGTAGTCTGGTGTGGGAAACAATTGTGTGAGCTTGTGGAGCATAAGCATTGGGTACACAGACTCCAGTAAAGGGGGTGTGTCTGATAGCATAGAACGTAAGCACACAAGGACTGAATAATTTCTGCTCTATTCTTAGGCATCGCTTGGCATAAAAATGAAAGCCATCACCACAGCAAATGCTGAATTTTGCCTTGATGTGTTCAAAGAGCTGAGCAGTAGCAATGTGGGAGAAAATATCTTCTTCTCTCCACTCACTATGTTCTACGCCCTAAGCATGGTCCTTCTGGGTGCCAGAGGCAAGAGTGCTGAACAAATGGAAAAGGTAAGCATTGAAGGAGAACATCTCCAGAACTCAGGTATTTTTCATGTGTTCCCACTTGTCTGCCAAATTGCAGCTATTCTCATTTTAAAAAACATCTTGTATAATGAAAAGACATACATAGGGAAGTCATATTTCTGAGAAAGGCAAAAAGTTTTAAGTAACAGAGTTCAATGCAAGCCACTATAGCATGCAGCTCCTTTTAAAGCAAATACATTCTGCAGTAACTTTTATTTTGGTGATTTGAATGTAATAGAGAACACATGTTTGGTGTTGTTCCTTCCTTCTAAACATTTTAAACCCAAAACCATTATAATATTTTTTTAAAAATTAAAAAGAATTTATTACTAAATTTCCTCAGAGCAATCCTGTTAGCAGATAGAGATTGTTATCTCCACATTACAACCAGGAAAACAGGAACGGTGAATTGTCACATGATACCAGCCACCAGGGTCTTTCCGTTCTATGTACTTTTACTACTGAGAATGTCTAAAAAATCTCTCTTGATATCTCTTAGGATAGTTGTTTATTTTACTTTACTATGAAGCCATGTTCTAGGGTTCCCTGTGGGCAATGCTCTATATAGAGGTCTCAAGAGTAGAAAAAAGGCAGAGTAGCCTCCACCAAGTGAGCTCAGCTCCTAGGACCCAATCAACTATGATCTGGCACAAGGGTGCTTGTCCATTTTGGTCTCAGTTTCCTTGACATAAAATGAAGGTGGCATTATTTACTCAGGAAGTTGTTGGGAGGGTTAAATAAGATACCCAAAGACTTAACTCAAGACTTAGAACATAACACTATCAGATGTTATCTATTGAAAATGGTCTTAATCTGCAATAGAAGAATTAATACAGCTCTCAGATTTTATAGATTGCATATTCCTTTTGTGGAGAGTTGATCTCTTTTCCTTTCCTAGGTGCTCCATTATGACAACTTTTCAGAATTCTTAAAACCAAAGATGAAAAACTCTTATGAGGTATGAGGATGCCATTGCTGAGATATCAAGATATCAATTATTCTTAACATTTGCACACCAAGATATCATAGTTCATGACTTTTGCAAACCTACTCCCCATGCTGGGATAGTTCACCCAGCCTTGATGCAGGGGGAGGAGCTTTGTCTTGCCTCAACTTGATATGACATGCTTTGTTGACTCTCATGGGAGGCCTGCCCCTTTCTAAATGGAGGAGGAGTGGGAGGTGGGAGGTGGGAGGAGGGAATGGGAGGAGAAGAGGGAGGAGAAAAAGTGGTTGGTATGTAAAATAATTGAAAAAAACATTTTAATGAAAGAAGAAATCATAGTTCAGGAGTAGAGCCGTGGAGTCATCTTTGGGCCCACGAGAAAGCCAGCTCTGCCTGATAATCTTCCCAATAGCCACTGCAGAGTACTGATGACAGCAACAATGCCAATGTCTCTCCATGCAAATATTTAAACTAATCATTGGCATCTTCACTCAGACTTTTCTATTCTGTGCCTGTGTCTGCTACTGACTGCCAGATTCGCTCATGCATGCAGTTTTGTTAGTCCACTAAGAGTTACTGAAAAATGGTTACCACTTAATTATATGCTGTCCCTGATGCAGCTCATCCACATTCTTTGAGAAAATTCTAATTCCTCCTAGCTTCTTTTTCTCTAGCCCCAAAACTCTTCTTTGCAGGAGGCTGAAACAATATTAAAAAAATTACAAGAGTGACATCTCATTGGTCAAAGCACATTCCTTTGGGTGAGTGATGAGGGCAGAGTCCTTGACCATGGATGTCAACATAGAGTTTCGATGTTTCAGGAAAAAGATTGTGACCAGAAGGCTGGAACACAGTGCCCAGTGAGATACACTTTGAGGCATGGGTCTTTTGTCAGCTAGACTTGGCAAAGAAAGAACTGGCGTGCTTTTATTAGGGTGCTTTGTGTGGTAACCTTGGCTAGACACCTGTGACTCTGACATTGTGCATAGCTGTAAAGCCCCAAACTTATGATCTATATACAAAAGCCTTTAGTCTAGTTTGAACTTGCTCTGAGGTGAAAATGAGTTAACTGTGTGTAGCTTACTTTAGATTGAGGAGAAATTTGTTATTTTCTGCTATTAGTCTGAGTAAAAGGAAGAAAGCAGTTTTTAAAAAGTGCAGTCCTCATGGGACGAATAAATATAGTTATGAAACATGCCCTACTATTTTTCTACATATCAAAATTATACAATAACTGTAAAGTAATCTTCTTGACTATCCACAGATATGTGTGCCCATAAGATTTAGATGCAATCATGAGATTGCATATACACATCACATGGGATTAGACATTAAAATACAGGTATTGAGAGATATCAAGCTGCTTTAGCAAAAGTGAGCAATGATTTCCAGACTCAATGGTCCTGTAGGACTTGCCAGGGCAGGATTAACCTCCATCAGAGAGTAACTCCTCTGGTGGTTTGACATCTGAATTATCAATTGCCATATGATGTATATTTCCATGGCCTCCATCATTAACTTGTTTGTTATCTTCATTTACATTTTAGCCTCAGGACTTTGTACCTTTCTTTTTGTATGTCCTATTCAGTCTGCTGACTGGTGGCTTCCTGGCTGGCCCCTTTTTTTCCTTTCTGCTTTTTTCATCTCTTCTTCTCTCCTTTCATTCTTCTTGAGCCTATATTTCTCCTCCCACTTATTTTCTCTGTTTCCCAGCCCCACCTATCCCTCTCCTGCCTAGCTATTGGGTGTTCAGCTTTTTATTAGACTTTTCAGATTCCTTAGGCAGGCAACGTGAAACAAATGCAACACATCTTATACATAATTAAACAAATACAGCATAAACTAATGCAACATATCTTCCATATCTTCACATTGTTAAACAAATGCAACAGCAACAAATGTAGTATACCTTTACACACTTAAAGTAATAGTCCACAGCATGAACAAATGTAGCATATTTTTGCATAGTTAAATAGTCTACAACACACACACACACACAATTGAATCCTTCTCAGAAACCTATTTATTAGGAACCATTGTTTAAAATATAGGCATTGACTTTTTGGCATCAATGAATTCTTAACCATAATTCACATGTTTCACATTTGCAAACTTAGCATAATTGTTGCTGCACAATTATGTAGGTATATATATATATATGTGTGTGTGTGTGTGTGTGTGTGTGTGTATAGTTAGTGAAGGTTGAAGAATTTTTTAATAGTCATTTAGAAAACTAAGACAGTGTTTGGATGTGTTGGTTCATACTTGAATCTCAGTACTTAGGAGGCAGAAGCAGGAGGATTGTTGGCAAGTTCAATTCCAGACTGGTATTAATTAATTCAATTCAGGGTTACCTAGTAAGACCATGTCCATTACTTGGGAAGAAAGGGTCAATAAGAATCTAAGGTGGTAAGGATAGAATATGGGGAAGGGAATATGATCACAATGCATACAATAAAAGTAAAAAACTCTCTCTCACTATATATATACATATACATATATATATATATATATATATATATTTGGACAAAAAGAGTGAGCATTGACCGTAGAAATATAAATACAAAGGAGGCCACAGAACTTGCATTAGAATCTTTTTTGTTCTTGAGAACTTAAGTTTCTCAATTAAACCATTAGGACCAACAAGTAGTATAAATGAGTCTGTACACAATCTGCTGATATTGTTTTTTGCTAAAGGACATAAAGTAAGATGCTTGGACAGTTCATCTCTTTGTGTTCACTGCTATTTATTGGAAAGCAAATATCTCGATCTGCAGATATTGCCTTTCATTGTTTATAACTCTTTAGTGGCAAGAAACACATCACTTTTCTTCTTTGTTCACTGCTGCCAGTGCAGTGAAGGTGGAAGGATGCATTCTGAATTTGGAGCCCTGCTATCCCAAATCAACCAACTGAATTCACTCAGCATTGCTAACAGAGTCTATGGGACGAAGGCAATAACATTCCACAAGGTAAGCACACCTGGTGCCCTCTGAATTTCATAATATAAAGTTCAGGGGGAGTGAGAAGAGCTTATGATAGTCTTTGCAATGTTGAATTTGAGCTTAGAGTTTCTGAGAAATGGCTTTATCAAAATTCCCACTTAGAGTTCTATAATACCACAATAAAACTCTCTTCTCTACAAAGTCCTTAAAACTGTGCAAGAATTAAGGTCTGAGATGAAACAAAAAATTGAAGTAATTTGCAAACTGTCTTCATGTGCCTATAGCACAAAGAGAGATGCTCTCTCAGCCTGGACTCTTAGGGGAGTGCCTTGACCCTACCAAGAGTAAAATGACAGACTCTAGATATCCCCTATGTGGAAGGATTTGGCAATAGGGTGGGAGGGGGGGGGAAGGGGAGTGCGGGAGGAGGGGAGGGAGAGGGAACTGGGATTGACATGTAAAACAAGCTATTTAAAATTAAAATTAAAAATGATAAAAAATTGAAGTAATTTGTAAGAATTGCCTTTTATGGATGAAAACAAAAGTGAAACACATTTCTCATTTTTTTACAAAGGCCCTTGATGATAAGACTATAAAGAGGTAGTTGCAAGTGTATTCCACTAGGAACCAAGGGATGTGAGTTTTCTTTTATTTTAAACATATGACTTCTGTCTTTAGAAACAACAGGATTAGATTTTTTTCTAGCTCCAGAATTGGAAATGGGTTTCAGCTCTCACCCACCAACATTGTAGTGTGTAATCACTGAATGTTTATTTAATTACCAGGGCCAATCACTCTTGAATTCATCACAGGCATTGCTTCATATAATCCTTTCATTGTCCTATGGCAAAGATACAACATTTCCACTAACTATAGACATAACCAGATTGTGAAAATTTCAATTGACAAAGGTCATAGAGACAATTATTGATGATGGGGGTGGCTGTCCTTTTGTATGTTGTGAATATATATTTCTCTTTTTGGTTGATGAATAATGCTGTTTCAGCCAATGGACAGGCAGAATGTATCCAGGCAAGAAGTATAGGTAGGGCTATCAGACTAGGAGAATTCTGGGAAGAGGAACATAGAGAGGTGTTATGAGGGAGGTGCCGTGTACCTGCCAGGGAAGGAAGAGGCCTAGGCATCACTGGTAAGCTGAGATTACATGGAAATACATAGATTAATAGAAATGGGTTAATAATTAAGAGAAAGCTAGCCTATAAGAAGCCTGAGCCATTAGTCAAACAGTTTATAATTAATATTAGCCTCTGTGTGTTTATTTGAGTCTAAATGGCTTCAGAACTGGGCAGGAAAGAAATTTCAGTTTACGTATCAAGATTTAGATTTAATCATTATCTAAACTCAAGCCTTCTTCCTGCTATGACTGGCATGAAATGCCAGTGTCCTTGGTCCATCTCCATCTGACCAGGATTATTGAAGTGTTCAGAGGCAGTCTCAAATATTTGTTTCTTAAGCTGTTAGATGTCACATATTTCTGATAGAATTTTTCATCTGAGGTGGGTGAACCACTTTGGCACTACATGGAGTCTTCCTTCTGCTGTGACAGAAGCACACAAAATCCCCCCCCCCAAACAGTGACCCACACACAGTAGTGGATAAACGTAGGTTTGGGTTGGTGGTTTTGAATTTGTTCCTGGGATAAGGAGTCATTTAGGCACTATGCTCATAAATTTTCCTTATAATACTATTTTCTTTAGTTTGAGGAAGAAAACTTATTAACAGGCAAAAAAGCTACTCATTGTATGAAATTTATCATTTTGATCTGAATGCACTGGTATAAGAAAGCCCATGACATGGAGGGAAAGCATCCAATGTTTCTGGATATTTTTCTTTTTTGGAAATTCTTTGGATTTAAAAACAAGCACTCATGGACATTTTTCTTTTTAAGCTTCTTACATCTACAGATTTTTGTCTCCGTGTTAGGACTTCAGAATATTCTGAGCTATAAATGTTTTTCTTGTGTGTGCACATATGTGCACAGGTGTGTGTGTGTGTGTGCGTGTGTGTGTGTGTGTGCATGTGTTTGCATTGCTATGTGTCACTGTAGGAGTGAGTACCTGAGCCATGTGTGTATGTAGAAGTCAGAGGACAGCTTTGGGTGTCAGGTTTTTTTCACCTTTTCTAAATCAGAGTCTCTTCCTGTTCACCAATGCCCATGTTGAGCTATCTAGTGCCTAGCTCCCAGCTGGTGATTCACCTGTGCCTGTTGTCCATCTCCCTGTAGGAGAACTGCAGTCACATGTACAGCACCTGCCTTTTACATGGGTCTGGGGCTGCTACCTCTGCTCCTCACATGTGCATAGCAAGTACTTCAGTCACTGGCCATTTTTCCAGATCACTCTTTGTACTATTTTTGTTCTGTCTTTCAATTGTCCCTTATTTTACAGCATTATTTAAGATGTTCTGAGAAACTGTTCCAAGCCAAGTTGCAAACTGTTGATTTTGAACTGTCAACAGAACAGACAAGGAAAAGTATTAATACTTGGGTTGAGAATAAAACTAATGGTAAGGATAACTCTCTCTCTCTCTCTCTCTCTGTGTGTGTGTGTGTGTATGTCTGTATGTGTATAAACTTAAATGTGTATCTGAATGTGTGCAAACTTTATCTGTGTTCCTTTGGTAAAAGTCTTAATTGCTATGCTAACAAGGAAGCTGCAGTTAACTAGTGTGAAATCTAAATGGGGCAGATAAATAACAATGAAAGAACTGGAAACATACTTTGGAACATATCTTATAATCATTTTTCCTAAGCAATATATGACAAGAGACTCTGAGAAAGTAAACATCATTTCTGCTTCAAGGAAATGTTATAAATTCAGCAATTTTCATTAAAATTAATACACTAACTCATCCAGAAATGTTTTTTTGGTTTTTCAAGACAGGGTTTCTCTGTATTGCTTTGGAGGTAGTCCTGGAACGTGCTCTGTAGATCAGCTGGTCTTGAACTCACAGAGGTTCGCCTGCCTCTGCCTCACAAGTGCTGGGATTAAAGGCATGAGCCACCAACGCCGGCCCAGAAATGTATTTTAAGCATCTGTGTAACATGTAAGCATCACATGCTAGTTATGGTATAGGCTCAGGATTATAATGAAAATTAAAGTCTTAATCAGGATTAGAGTAGGATGCTATGCATTCCTTTGCTTCATGTCAGAAGAGTTGAAGGAGGGTAATAAGGTGAGAAAGACAAAATTTCATTGTATATATGTATAAAACTGTCAAATGATAAAAACTTTAAAACCATTATCATAAACACAACAAACAAGAAGACAAATAAAACAATTGCATATTCAGAGCTGGGAGATAACCTGTCAATAAAGAGCTGCTTGAGCATGGGGACCTGAGTCTTAGGGCTAGAAATATGAATTAGAAAAGGCTGTATATGGTGCTTCCTGCCTGTAACCTTCTTGCTGGCAAGCTGAGACCTGGCTGGTTATTCATCCCAGCATAATTGGGAGCTCCAGGCCAGTAAGACACCAAGCAAGGAGTGACTTTCAGACTTGATCTCTGACTTCCACCTGTATACACACAGAGGCACACTCACACATGTACACACACAATAAATTTAACTTGATGAAAAAGTCCTTTTGTGTTTGTGTGCATGTGTGCCAAGGTGTTCTTGAGGAGATCAGAGAGTGACTGGGAGTGAGTGATTTTTCACTTCTGCCTTGAATTCTCTTGCTTCCACCTGCTAAGGCTATTCTCAACCTCCTTCATGCTGCAACCCTTTAATACAGTTCCTCATACTCGTGGCTCCAACCATAAAATTATTTTGTTGCTACTTTGTAATTTGGCTACTGTTAGGAATTGAAATGTAAATATCTGACATGCAGGATATCTGATATGCACACCCCAAAGGGGTCTCAACCCACGGATTGAGAACCACTATGCTAAGCCATCTTGTTCACCTGGGGGATCTTTTAGAGATAATCTACGGAAGTAAATAAAGAATTTCATAAAGTAATAATGGACTACAGTGTGTCATATATGAGTAGATATAGGACAAATTGAGTCATCCATAAGGTGTTACTTCCAAGATGAATAGTTCCTGTGACAGGGAAGACTCTATGTCCAGGAATAGGAACTCTTCTGGTACCCCAACTTTTAAATTACTGTCTGAAAAAAACCTTATGCAAATATCTATTATCAACAAGTTAATCCTAATAAAATAACCTATTTTTGTTTGTTTTACTACAAGGAAAAGTCACAAACTTATTTGGCAAGGGTACAATTGATCCCTCTTCTATCATGGTCCTAGTAAGTGCCATATATTTCAAGGGACAATGGAAAAATAAATTTGAGAAAAGAGAGACAGTGAAAGCTCCCTTTTACATAAGTGTGGTAAGTATTTCAGACTGGTAACAAGTATTGGAAAATGCAATAATAATTTAAGGACAATTCAGAAAGATTTCATGTAAACATTGCTATAGATTGCTGAAGACTTTTACATCTCAAAATGGCATTAACTTGTCTACTGGGCATGATGCTGCTCCCTGAAAGAGTGAAGACCTCTCCTCTTCCTAGTGTTCTAACCCCGAAGCCTCGAGGTTCATACCATGGTTAGTTCCCGTGACAGCTTATAAAAGTACACTCTTGTCCTGAATAGTGTCCACATAGCTTAACAGAGATAATGAGCCTCTTATTTGGTTTCCCACATAAGTCATTTTATCTAGAGGCTCTCATGTTGTAATTAAATACCCAAATCATCTCTATATTATTATACTTCTATAGTCTCTAACTTTGACTGATTTTAGGATTACACAATTGATAACCTGTACAAAGAAAAGTAATAAAAGGGTATTATAGTCAGTAGTTTATACTTTGCAGTGTCAACACAGGTATTCATGTTATAAAAATAAAGTATATATACATAACCACTGTTCAATTATAATCTTTTAAAAATAGGGTAAAAGTGCAGTTGTGGACATGATGTATCAGACTGGAACATTTAAGCTGGCCTTTATAAAGGAGCCACAGATGCAAGTCCTTGAGCTTCCCTATTCCAATAACAAACTAAGAATGATCATCCTCCTTCCAGTAGGCGCAGCCAATATAAACCAGGTAAAATCCCAACAATGCCACTTTGCAACTAACACATGTATGAGTGAGTACATGTGGATGTGTGTGTGTGTGTGTGTGTGTGTGCGTGTGTGCAGGAACATACACTCTTTCACACATACTCTGTGTGCTTTGTAATGTCTGTATGATCAATCACAGACTCATGACTAGGTTAGTGGTCTTTCCTCAGGAGTTGGAGATTAAGGATGATCCCTGCCCTAATATGACTACATATTCAGGCAAGACAAACACTTCATTCATTGAAAAAGTGATGTAAGTTAACTGTGTTATATAATATAAATGCACATATGTACTGTTCATGAGAAACATAGTGGACATCTTTCTACAATAATGAAATGTCCTGACCACATTCATGGGTCCTAGAGAATTACTGAAACCTTGCTAAGGGGAAGTTTTCTGATATAACCAGGGGATACACTCACAGGCTGGCCATTTTTAATAACTTGATTTTGTAAGGAAATAGCACTTCAACCAGGAAGGAAAGACAGTGGTGGCAGGAATTTGGGTTCAATCTCCTCTCCCTGGTTTTAGCCAAAGGTTTTTTTTTTTAGCACAGAGAGACTTACAAGTGATGATGGCATCTAACTCTAACCTAGCTACCACCTAGGTAGCAAACTACCCCATAAAATGAAGCTTCTTAGAACAGCTGTGCCTCTAGGAGCTGCAGAAGCTGATTCCCACAGTTGAATTGTCACAGTCAGTGAGCAAGTGTTTAAGTCAGGGCATGCTAGTTTTATTTATAAACGATGGTATGGGTGTGTGTGGAGAGGAGAGAGACACTCTGGAAAGAGCTGGTTTTGGCTTTATGCATTTGGATTAGAGAGTGAGATAGATTCCAGTTCAAAGGCAGCTGGAGTAAAAGCATACCTGTGACTCTGGGAATAGATATGATTACAGGTGTGTCCAGTTCTGAGGGGATTAAGACCCTGGGAGCTTGCAGTCAGCTGGGGTAGAAGATGTTGAAGTCAGCAATTTGAAAGCAGTTGAATCTTCACATAAATTCATGGGCAAAATATGAAAGGTATGAATTAGAATAAAGAAGCTGGGGGTGGTGTTCCTAGAGAATCATCTTCATGTGAGCTTTGCTTGATGTATAGAAGATGGACAGGTAAAGTGAGAAGACTCTCTTGATCCAGGGATAACAAGAAGCACATGTATGTTTGCTAAGTGTGAGGCAGCTGAGATCTGCTTGTTTATTATAAGCTAACTTGGGTTAGAGATAGCAAATGAAAACGATAAAAGGATACTTTGACAGAAAATCTACATTTATCTTATTTTGTATTATGAGAACTGGATGATAATGAAGTGTTTTTAACTTTGGGACAAGATAACAATGAAAATGACACAGTATATAATGCTATAGGGCATTAAGTATCCAAGGTTAGTACTTAAGTGACAGACAAGCGTAGTTAAGCTTGATGTTACAATGAGATGTCAGTTGCGGGGATCATTTGGGAAACCTAAGTACATATGTGGGAGTAGAACTGTCAGCCAGAAAGAAGCACAAAGGCATTAGGCAAGCGTGTACCTTGTTAATCTTGCAGAAACAATACAGAGAGAGTAAAGGGCATCAGGGAGATACAAGCCGTTAAGAATGGAACAAAGGGATCTGGCATTTCAGAATCCAAATGAAGACTAAATTCATAAAGATGTGACTCAACGTTTCAGATGTAAGAGTCACTAAGAAATTATTGGATTGATTTAGAAAGCAGACACACAATGATACCTGGGGCAATTAGCATCCAAGTTTAGGTAAAGGCTAAATGCTGAGGGAATACAAGAATATACACTGAGAAAGTCAGTGGGGGAATATAGAGGAGATAGAAGGAACAGAAACGGAAAGTATGGCTAAGTGCATAGATAGGAAGTTTATGAGCATTAGATGTTGAGAACCAGCATAAGCTGAGCCACTCACAGTGGGGATCACAGAATCTTCTTCTTGACTCAGAAGGTATATATTTGACTCACATGTGTGCATCTGTATTTTGACTCTTAGATAGAAAAACACCTGGATGTGAAGATGCTTCAAGAGTGGACCAACTCTTCTAACATGGTGGAAAGAGAAGTGGATGTCCACATCCCCAAATTCAGTCTTGCAGTAAAATATGACCTAAACTCCCTATTGAAATCCCTAGGGATGAGGGACATCTTCAGCGTGGCCACAGCTGATCTCTCTGGAATGTCACCAGACAAAGGCCTGTATCTATCCCAGGTTGTTCACAAGTCATATGTGGATGTCAATGAAGAAGGCACTGAGGCAGCAGCGGCCACTGGGGAGAGTATTGCTGTGAAACGACTCCCTGTCACAGTTCAGTTCACAGCAAATGCCCCCTTCCTGTTCATTATCCAGGATGATTGTGGCAATATTTTATTCGCTGGAAAGTTTGCCTCTCCATAGACAGAGGGCATTGTGGAGGCCTCAGGATAGATAAAGTACAGCGGTGAAGGGGCTGACTGTATCTCAGCTGTGCACATCTGCAAAGCAGGTCTACCAAATGGCAGATCTTTAGCCCGATCCTGTGAGCTTGTGAAACTCACACTAGCGTATTCATGTGAAAAGACACATTTATTCCAGTGCTTTTCTAGATTTCTTACTTTTGAGACCTCATTGATGACTGGGTGACATGATTGAGTTAGCAGAGAAGTTTATAAAGGCCTAGATGTTTTTGGGTTTTTCTATGTTAGTGAGATTGTGAATGAGCGACCGCTGTGAATCAGGTCAAAGTTTCCTACTTTATTTTGACTTTTAAATATAAATTTCCTGCATGCCTAAATACGGTAGTATCAATTTTAGTTCAAAATTCTACATTGATCATAATAAATGAACTCTTTGAAGATGGAATACACGATATCAGTTAATTAACTGAAAGGAGGAGCTTTCTTCTTCAGGAAACATTTCCCCCATTTTCTTTATTTGTCTAAAAACAATTCTTTGACACTTTATGTGTACATAATTAATTTTGGTCATTTTTATGCCCCGTTTACTCTCTTATTCCGCTCTTTTTGCTATGGAAACCTTTCTTCTTCCCCATAATTCCTTCTCCTACATGGGTCTCCATTTTGTGACCTGCTGAGTTTACTTGAGGGTTGCTTGCATGAATAAATATGGAAGAGAGGTTGACCACTAGAGCATGGGTAAATTATTAGAGGTCATACTACTGAAGAAAGTGTCACCTGTTCTCCTGGTCACTGTTTATTAATACAGTTCCTCAGGAAAGAGTCTTCTGGGCCCATTCCCCATGTTTGATAATGTGTTTATGGGCCTGACTTTGTGCATATCTTGTGTAAGTAACCACAGCTGCGGTGACTTCATGAGGGCAATGACCACCTCATGTCCAGGAGACATGTTTTGCGGCAATCTTCCTCATGTTCTTACTTTAAACTCTTTCTGACCCCTCTTCTGCAGCGCTTCCTGATCCTTGGAAGGGTCTGATGCAGATGTCTTGTTTGGGGATGAGTACTTACAGTCACTTACGCTAAGCAATACACATTCCTGTCCAAATATTTTATTGGTTAAAATATATAATACCTATCTTACACTTTAAAAATCAGCAATTCATTAAACATAACTTTCAGAAGAACAAAGATAGATATCAGTTGTATTTTTTTTTCATTTTAGAGGGAGCTTTTGTATTTTCCACTAAAGATAATACAGAGCAATAACCAGAAGACAGACATCACAATACAAGGGCTTGAAATATAAAAGTATGTAACATAATTATGGGTGTTTGTTATGTGACTTTTTCTGAGAATCCTAGGACAAACATCTATGTATTTGCACCAGATAAGGCACTGATGACAGAGCAAGGAAACAATTGTACCCATGCCTAGCTTAGTGAAACAGTCAGTTTGCTAGGGTTAGTTATATGGGAAGAAGGTTAGTTTTAGGAGCATGAGTTACTAAAATGCAACTATATGCTGAAAAGTCCACGTGAAGATGGATTGGTGATAGCTCATGAACACTACATCTTTGGACCTCTCTGTATGACACTTAGGCAGCTTGGCTTATCAGAATGCCTCTTTCCCCAGCAATTGTTAGTGTTATGTAATCAAAGAGAGGGGCTTTATGACTCTTGTAAGTTTCAGGAGCTTTGTAAGACTTGTGGGTTTCATTTATTTCCCAAGTCTTAATGAACCTCCATCCCACAGAGAATGCTCATATGAAAGAGTTATACAACACTTCAGAAAAATAAAGACTCTTCTTTTATTGTAAGCACACTGCAGAGGTCATAACAGCCCAGGAAAGGCTATGTCCTGGAATCTGTCCTTGGCTGTGGAGGAGCTCAGATTGATTTCATCACATAGACATTTACTATAGTTTTGCTGTTTCATTGCCAAAGGTTCTTGCAGGGGAAGGCTTAGTTGATATCTGACAGTACTGTGGTACTCTTGGAGAATAGTGAAATATTTAGGAAGAGGGGCCTACCAGAAGAATGCCCAGTTAGGGGCAGCACCATCTCAAAGATGTTGGGACTCAGATCCTCCCATTATTTGTCTCCTTTCTCCTCTTCGTTCTCTCTTTCTCCCTGTCTCTGTCTTTGCTCCCTACCCCCACTGTAGCATTAGGCAAATGACCATTTCTTATGTATATTCCCTGTTATGAAGTTCTTGCAATAGACCCAAAGGCAATATGGATAAGCAGCCATGGATCAATACTCCTAATAGCATGAGACAAAATAAATCTTCTCTCTTGTAAATATCCAACCAAAGTAACAAGACAATGTAACAATAGAAGAGCTTTATAACACTGACTTAGTTCTCTCCAACAGTTTAAGGACATCAGAGCATGATCTCCTGAAGGTGTAGGAAAGAAGTTAAAAGTCATCATCTTGAGTCAAAGCTGAAGGTAACTCTTGTAGCTAAGCTTCAGAGATTGATGTATCTCTCCCTCCTCTTTTCCCACAATAATATCTACCTATGTCATACATATATGTTATGTATGAATGATATACTGAGAGAGGGTGATAGACTGAGAGAGAGAGAGAGAGAGAGAGAGAGAGAGAGAGGCTCATGCTATCTTTTAGCTTTAGAATGGGGAGAAAATTTCTTTTGTTAGAGGGTTTCAATCTATTTTCCCTTAAGGCCTGCAAATGATTCCATGATGTCTACCTATTCTAGGAAAGATAATATGCTTTACTCAAAGAGTACTGATTCACATGCTAATATTTGGTTAATGATACCACCACAGCAACATCTTGCCTGATGTTTGGCCAAATCATTGGGTCCTGAGGCCCAGAAAAGTAGACTCAAGAAATTAAAAATCACTGGGATTAAAGAGATGACTCAGCCCCTAAGATCACTTGCTGTTCTTCCAGAGGTCATGGGTTCAACTTCCAGCACTCAAGCTTGGTAGACTACAGAATGGGAGAGAATCTCACCAGCTATACATCTGACAGATAGTTATTATCCAGCTTGTATAAAGATGCAATAAAAAAGAGTTAAGAAAACAAAGACCCAATTAAAAATTGGCTATGGATCTAAAAAGAGAAGTGGAGTGGAGAGGTTATGTGGGAAGGACTAGAGGAAGGGAATGGATGGGCTAATGATGTGGTTATATTTTGACTGAATAAATAACCCTTAAAATTTAACCTAAATATAGCTTTATTCTTATACAGTATATGGAGTTTAACTAATGGTAAACAAAATGAGATCTGTGTATCATCTTTAAAAATTTTTGTTAACACTATTTCTGAAACATCTCTGAAAACAACCACCATAGTTACTAGTACTGAGGAAACTGAATGCTAATTAGTTTTATTCTTTCTAAGAGATGGCATAAATTGTACCTTTAACAGTGTTAAGCAACATAATAAATTATATGCCTCATGGGATTTCACAAAACCCCCCTCACCTTCATCCATTAAACATTGAATGTATCCATGTCTTTCCCCCACCTCTTTGCATAAACACTGGGTCCTCAAGTTTGTGTGAATCTGTTTGGTAACCCTAACTTCCTAGTGACTCAGAAAAAAAATAGTTTTCCTAAAGCCTTCACACCCACACCTTTAATGGCTAGGCAAGCATTTCCCCATGGAACATAAATAGGATCAAACTAGAATCTGAGTCATGGTGCTTGGGTGGGGCATAGTGACTATAATGACCATTCCATCATCTGTTTGATTGGTTTTTTCTTGGCTTTCTTTAAGAGATTTGTTGTTTTCTTGTATTTTTTGGTTTGTTTTTTTTCTTCCATTTCTTGAAGGGATTTTCTCATATCCTCTTTGAGAGCCTCTATCATTTTCATGAAGTTGTTTTTAAAGTCATTCTCTTCTGCTTCATCTGCATTGGGACGTTCAGGTCTTGCTTGTGTAGAGTTCCTAGACTCTGGTGGTGTCATATTAGTTTTCCTGTTGTTGAATGTGTTTTTATATTGTCTTCGTCCCATCCCTTCTTCCAGTGGGAGCAGGAGGAGTCTCTTCCTCTCTTGGAGGGTATGGTTCTCTTCTGGTAGGTACAAGCGGGTCCAATACTCCGATGGCTCTCCTCTTTCCATGGGTGCAGGCAGGACTAGTACCTGGGCCTTGGCAGTCTCTGGGTGGACTGGACGACCCGGATGGGTTCCCCAGTGATTAGTCCCCAGGCCTCAGGCAGTTCCAAGCAGGGCACCGGAAGGCAGGAAGTCCACTCCTATAGGAAGTCTGTGCTCAGGAACCTCCCCCAGGATATCTTGATGTAAACGTAAAGAGAGAAAAATCTAATCCACTATTTGGGAAGTAGTTCAGTAAAAGGCTTGTCTGTGTACATACTTGGGAGTCTAGGTTTTTTTCCTACTGTTTCTAAATCTGTCACATTTTTTCCCTCAGACATTTTCAGCAGCAAGAAGAACAGAATGAATTTGAGGAATCTAGTTCTTTCCTCATGGTTTCCCTTGAATTATCTGGGGTAATAGCGACTCAATGCCTAGTTTGATAGACTTGGTCACAAGTAACTTCTGTGGTCCTGGCTTCATGACTGATAACACCCTATATCACTCTAAAACGTGTCCTGATTTTGACAATAGTTATACAGTGACCTTAATACTGCTGAGTCGTCATATCTACTAGCCATTAGGAAGCGAAGGGAGCAGGCTAAGTGCAAGAATATACAAACTCCAGTTTTCCTGACTTCAGCAACTTGAGGCCCAGGTCTTTTCCTATGGCCCTTCATTCCTCTTTCACTGTTTCTAAAAGTGCAGTCTCTTTTCTTGACTTGCGACTGTACCATCCTACCCTCTCCACAGATGAAACACGCTTCTCTGACTATAAAGAGCAGACAACAGTGAAATGTCCAGCTCAATTTCATCAAGACTCAAAGGGCAAGGCACTTTTGAGAACAGATTTCCAGGCCTATGATGAATGACTCTTAAAGATTCTTGAAATCTTATCATTTGCTCACACCCTGATTCATTTCCTCAACAAACATTTCCTGAACATTTTGCCACCTTGAATTGTGGAAATAGAGTAAATAACACAAGGCCGCAGTCCTTTTCCCCATACAATTCTATGTTAGCAAAGAAGAGGGAGTTTAGAACATAATGTCAGTGAGGATGGGTGCTGTGGGAATACTGTTATTGAAGGGGTGTTATTAATGGAGAGCCCTGATTAACTATCTCTGGAAGCAAGGGCTACCCTTGACAGGCCAAAATTAATTTAAAGGCAGAGATAATGTCTTTTGTGATTTATTGTGGTTATACAAAGGTAACTTGTCCATGAATGTGGTTTTCACAATGACAAATGGTATTTAAAGATTAATTTAGTGATAGAGTTGTCTAGTAATATCATGAATCAGTCACACACAACATCTTTGAATGTGCAAAGACTTTCTACATCTATTCCTCAAGCATCTTTGACCATCAATGTCTAA